TAAATAAAAATTAATGTAGAGAATAAGCAAAATGCAATACTTAATTAAAATACATAATTTTTATATTGCTAATCATATAATTAATGCAATTAAATGGCCTCATTTTGTTATCGCCAACGTCAGATATCGATCCGAATTAAATCGAAACAAAAGGTTAATATTTGTACATCTTAAATATTAGTAAAATAAACAGTGAACCTCATACTAAACAATACACAATTTGTTAATGAAATTTTGAATAACATTTATGCAAGACATCTTAAATAGAGTCCAATGTCAATCGATTGCAAACTTTCTCCTTGATTATTATAAAAATATTAGATTGCTAGAAAGAACAAGCGATGATTATACAATATCGAAGCCGATTTTAATGATATTAAAACGATTTTTAAGCGCTTAAATTTCTTATAATACATTTTACTTTCCTGTCTATTATATAACAGAGGAAATATATGCTGATCGGTCAAAAAAAATCTCTACAGCTTTAGACTCGGAGGATCTTGAACCATCGAAAAATGTAAAAAAAAAAAAAATCGGGTTTTTTCTGTATGTATGAATGTTAATGCGTGTGGAGAAGCACAATTTTTTGTCCTGACTTTGAAGCTTAATAACTCCCGTGCCTTTCGTCGAAAATTTCTGAAATTTTGTAGGAAAGTTTGTGTATTATGGGGAAATGTTTCTAGAAATTTTCAGAAAAATCGAACCATTAGTTCGAGAGATATGGCCCCAACCCCTTAACATCTCCCGACCGATTTGAAGACTTAAAGGTAATGGTAGCAATTATCAAGAATGAAAACAAATAAAGAATGCCGGGAAGATCCAGCAACAATGTTGCCAGCTTGTTTTAAAGGTAAAAATAAGTGTTTCAGTTTGTCAGTTTGTATCAATTTATTTTTATAAGTAAAAAAAAAAAACTTGAAGAAGAAAGTTTTGTGAGTGTTTTTTAAGAATGTTTTCATTTAAATTTTGTTAAATAAATCATTTTTTACAGTTTAAACGAGATGAAAAGTAATTATTTTGAATTTCAAGCAGTGATATGGATGCGAAACTGCATTGGAGAGGAACGTTCTTCATTAGTATCAATGTTTGTTAGTATCAAACTATGCAAGAAATGTTTTTCCTGGGGTATACGTATATTATTACAGCATCTTTTCAATCGCATGACATTCGTTAAACTCCAATTAGCAGATTTATGCAAGGTATCGCGTAATTTACTCTATTCGTCATAGGTGATGTCATAGGAAACCTCGCGTGTTGCTCAGATTTCGTAATTAAAAATTTGTTTAATTGTAAAAAAAAATGATTCACTTGAAAAAAATTATAATTATATTCAAATTTTAGATTCTCATAATTGAATTCGAAGCATTTAAAAAAATTTCTCGGAACAATATCAAGAATGGTAAATTTGGAGCGCGATTTCTCGCTTTAAGCGCTCGTAAACAAGACTATATTTTCGCTTTGAATGAATAAAATAAAAGATAATTTCGTGGGTGTTTATGTAAAAGATGATTTGATAACGTTGTTAGCGCGTGTTTCATGCACTAATGGTTTTGCAGCCTGAAAGTCTGGACGACCCGCAGCATTTTGCAGCAAGGTGGCAAAAGTGGCGAAGAAAAATAATTAAATTAGTTTAAATTGTTTTCGTAAATTTATTATTATTTTTTCGTTTTTTTTTTTTGAAATGACCATATGTGATGTAAGTCAAAGCACAACGAAGCAATTTCAACATTCAATGTCGGTGCCCTGCATTTGTATATCAGATACAACTTATTAAATTGTCAGCAGGATATCTGAGTCATTCAGGTGGATGGCACGCGTTGGTCACCCGGTTGGCACCATGCAACTGTTCTTACGCTTTCAAGAAATGGCGTGTGTCTCCTCTACATACAAATATACATTAATGGCCGAACGGAAGAGAATCGTTTTCACTTTATATCTCTCGACATAAGATAAACGCGTAGCCAAGATGGATCTTGCATAATGGATGAGTTTGCACTTCATAAACATAACAATTTAACTTATAAACGTAATCATAAACAGTAAATAAATAAAAAATAAAAAAAAACACTACGGCTTCAAATAACATTTAACCTGACATCATATTATTTATTGGGTTGATGAGTAATGCTTAATGAATACGTGTTATTTATTTAGTTTCAGTTAACCATTAATGTGAGCAGATTTTTTTACATTGAAAACCAAGTGAAAAAATAAGAATCATACATCAGAGGAGACACGTATAAAATTTTGCAAAATCACTAGCTTTAAGGGATTTTCCACTAGGGACAATATATCAGATGTGTGTACCTGTATACAGATGGACTTAAGAGAAAGGTCACACCCACACCAGGCACGGGCTGTCCTACTTTCTACAACCTATTTTCCATTTCTGAATTTGGAGAAGGAGCGCTGTTGTGTGACGAATTGATATATCTCCTTTTGTTAAATAATCGTTGTGTATCTCGGTGTTTTACTATATAATAAGGTCTATAAATGATCGTATTTGTACTAATTTTAAATATGTATATAAATAAAATGCTTCTATTATTATTTAAAAATACATTTTGCAAAAAAAAAAAACTATTGGAATGTTTTAAAGTATCGATTGTTGTTATAGCTTTCAATGGTGTGTTTGGCCAATGGTCTACGTAATTCGGAACTAAACAATGATTTAAACAGTTTATTCGGTAATTTTAATGGCTTTCCGATAGATTAATTTAATTAAAATTAATAAAATAGCGAGCATCGCTGTTAATTTTAATAGCGAGATGAGTTTCTCCCTATTGAAGTTAGCAGCGATGCTCGAGAACAATAGAAAAATTAAGGCTATAGATGTGTTTAGTATAAGCTATAACTCTATATAAAATCTTACAATTAATAATTATTAAATTTAATTCAACGGAAATTCGGCAATTTACGTATTTTAATCATGAATTTTTCGCTTTAAAATTCGTTTGCGTTGCGTTATTAAGTGCGCTAAAGAGTCGTTAATTAAGAGAAAATTCGAGATAACGTTCAAATGATTACACGCATACACCAGAATTTAATAATTACTTTAGAGTTTATTTATTTATTAAAAAACAAAAAAAATACTTTTATAATTTTAAGCGTTTGTTTTAAACTATCGATCGATTTATTGTTCGATAACATATTCAGTTGTCCTTTAGAATGTCTATTGTGTTATTCGGAGAGGCCGGAAACCATCTTGACCTTGCTAGTTTAGCGACATTTTGTCAGCAGATATAATGATTCTTTAAATACAGGGTTATTACGCTAATATATGTCGAACGTACGTGAACTTATTAAAACTCGAGTACATGCGTTACCTGACACACGTGACGTTTCTACCTTTCCGTTAACGTCATTTCCTTCCTAAGGCAGTAATGTCTACACGGTGATATTTAAAAATATAAATACTGTACTCCTAAAATATTAATATAAATGGATAATTGTATAAATATTTTAAAATTTCAGCTAGTAAAAGTTATGATATAAGCCTATTTTATGTAAGAATTATATCACACGAGTAGAGCTTAGTATGTGTATTGCTTTATAAATTAGTTATTTGTGTAAAAATACAAATAAATTTACTGAATTTTATTAATTTAGAAGTTTAACTTGATTATATTTACTTATAAATTATTACACAATTTTCCTTCTTCTTTTTTTTATAACTTTTTTTTATGATAAAAGATATGAAACATTTTTTTTTTCTCAGAAATAGTCTTGTTCGGAATTTATTAAAATTAAATAAATGATAACAGAATAAAATAGATATTTATCTCTTTCCTATTTTACTTTCCCTCTCTTTTTTTGTTTTATTAAAATGTTCAAGGTTTTTTTTACTATTAATTATATTAAAAACAATCATGTAAATTATCTCTTATTGTATTTATCTGTAAAGTGTTTTAATAGTAGTTTTTAAGTCAATATTTAATTATTAANATATCATTGAGGTCGATAGCAAGGACACGTTTGGATGAGTATTTGTACTAATCCGTCCTTGGACGATCTTCTAATATTTTTCCATCTTAAAATATAAAAAATTACTATCAAAGTAAAATTTGCATATTATAAAACGTGTAAGCGAGCATTTATAATGACTTCTCATTAAATAAAAATATCACTTTTTATAACATTAAACATTAAATACTTTACACATTGCACTATGAAGTTCCCTTATATGCTTACAAGTAAAATATCTCATTGAAACAACATAAAAATATGGAAAAGAAATGTAGAAAGGCTTATTAATTTTATAAATATATTTAAAAAAAATAGTTTTATTATTACTATTAAATGGCAATATTCTTTAAATGGTATTTTTCATATAGCTTACAAGGCAAAATATTAATGTACATGTATAGAGGCCCTAAGTTAGGATCATAAGGGGATATATAGCGGTTCTACCCTGATGTAAACATTGATTTTTTATTTATTGTTATTACTTATAAATGTGTGTTAATATTTTAATTTGAATTATATTATTTTCATTACATTAATGGCTTTCCACCGATATTAACCTACGAGATACGAAGGCCTACTTATACTTTTTTTGTTTTTGAGTTTGTAAAAGGTCTTTTTTTAATTTAGTTTTGCCGTTTTGGGCGGGAAATTTTTATACAGTTAATAATTTTTCTTTAACCCACGCACCTGCGAATAAGCAAAATAGTTGTACCAATAGAAATCTTTAGTTTTGAGGTCTAGTTGACCTTCTAAGGTTATGCGCCTATACATTTTGTCACCACTTCTAAGACTTGTTTTCCAAACACTCGTTTCTGTCTCTTTTTCTCCAACAAACGAGTTGTTTTTGAGAGGAAAAGTGTTTACAACTTTCCGTCTGCAAGCTAACTAGATGCAGACGATCTATGACGCAAACAAGACCTCATTTCCGTGGAAGTGATGTCACGCGGATTGATAAGCGAGAAGTTTATCTCGAATTTCGACCAATAAGAAAAGATAAATTAGAAAGGTTTTCGTATTCGGGAAAGAACTCCCTCAATTGGCCGGTTGGATGTTTAGTCATTGGACGTTGTCTACCTTTAACAGAAGCCGGGATTATATTTAGGAGCGGATAGTTACGGCGTGTAAACCGGCTCTGATGTAAACATATCAAGTGTGACAAGACGCCTAGTTGGTCACAGCAGAGTGCAAGTTGAAAGTGTTAATATTCGGTCGCTTGGATACTGTGTGAGTGCGTGTTCAAGATCGAATCCAGTGGGTGGGCGTGCGGCCCGTTCTACATGACGGCTACATTACAGCACTGGTTTGACTGCGAAAACAAGAATTTATCACCATGTCATTCGTACAGTACCATGGATTCTCCACCAATGTATGAAGGAATTTATCCAGGTGTTCAAGAACTCAAAGCCAAATATAAGAAATTTGATTATTTAAACGACGGAAGTGGTGCAGACGTAGCTGATCTGAATTCGTCGGAGATTTCGCTGGACTTACAAAACTTTATCGCCGACGCTAGTCAAGTAGCTCGGTTGCAAGAAGCGGGTTTTTTTTCGGATGTACTGGTCGACGGGAAACGTCCGATCGACCAGAACCATCACCTGAGTCCCAATACGGATTACGATAACTTTCCTATGCCACAGCAAGGAAGCCTTGGTAGCGACAGGTACGGTGCCGAGGCGGGTTACTCCATCAAACAGGAGCCGGTAGATCACGTCCATCTCAATAGCTGTCAGAAGGGATACCCGAACAACATCTACGGTTATCAGAATCCGCCCACGAATAATGTCCAAGTTTTGGGCAATTACATCAACGAAGCTGGAAGACCAATGGGTGCCGGACTTCAACCGAATTCCATGAAAACTAATAACCTCCATAAAATGAACAAGTGTAAGAAGTCGGTCGACAAAAATTCCGACGAATATCGACGCAGAAGAGAAAGAAACAACATTGCCGTGAGAAAATCTAGGGAAAAAGCAAAAATGCGATCGCTCGACACGGAGAGAAAAGTATCGCAGCTAACCAGAGAAAACGACGGTTTGAGGAAGAGGGTGGAATATTTAAACAAAGAGCTTCACACCATGAAAGGTATTTTGTCAAATCTCGGTGTTTCGCCCGAAAATATCGAGTCGGAGTTAGCGAAGAATCACAATCTCTATAACGGACTGTAAACAAATTTGCTCAATGTGTCGTCGTCTCGACGTGTGCGAACTCTTTCGGTCTTCAGGAGAACTACGCCGAATCTCACGCCGACGATGCTATTTTTTATTACAAGAAAAATAAGGGACCAAAATTACTAATCCACCCAAACCGAAAAATATATATATTTTTTGTTTTGGAATATTCTCCTGTGATTTTCATGGAAGGGAAAAAAATTATATATATATTGACTATTTTGTACGAAACGCGTAATTCCAATGATCCAATAATAAGATGTGTTACATTTTTCGTCTTATCTAGTTTATCAACAGAAAATTTGTTGTGTTTTGTTTTTTTATTCAAGATGTTATCGGAGTCCGTCTGATATCGGACGAAAGAATGTCTTTTTTTTTTTTTATGTCAATACTTAACCTGGAATATTTAGCATTTATTCTAAATTGTTGCGTGAAAAAAATAAAACTATTATTTGTTGTCAATAAATTTTTTTTGTCTAATTTATTTCTTTTTTTTTTAATAATAATTTTTAATCGGTATCGGTACGGTATCTTTCGGTTTTAAGTAAACAACATAGATGTAAGAGTTGTGTGACGCACGTGTTTGTCTATCCAATAACACGAAGACGTTGAGTGATTAGGACGTTGACCGCCCTTCGTCATCGATTGTGATTCAGCAGAAAGTTTTCGTCACAATCGATGCATTGTAAACACGTGATTCGCTTATCTTAGAATCTGCATCGACGTAATCGTTTGCCGTCGCTTAGCAACGGATGAAAACCGTCAGTCTACTTATCTGTCAATCAAAATGACGTCAATCATTCAACTTATCTAACAGGACATTTTATTAAAATTTTACGTCTCTTCTAATCAAAATTTATTACCGAAATTTAAATTAATTTATTACTTCTACGAAGTAATATTAAATTTGAATTTATTTTATTTTTAATATGAAAACCGTTATTATGACGTATATTAGTAATCGAAATTGGCTTCTTTATATATATATATATATATATATATTTTTTTTATTTTCAGTTTTTAAAT